TACTATGCAAAGAGCTTTACGTACATTAGTTCACTGAATTGTAATAACAACCCCATGTAGAAGGCATGATACTTCCCTCCTGTATTTTTAGATGAGAAGATAGTACATCATAAATATTGGTCAAATAAGCATTTCTGGAACCTCTTTAAGTGCAGGGTGTTGCTAGGTACTAAGGTGAAGAGGCAAGGACATGGTTCTTGCCCCTGTGGTACTCATGGCTCCCGGGATGCTTTGGGTTACATGGTCCAGGACGGCAGGTGAGTGTCGGATGAGCACACCAGCACACGTGCCTGCAGCACTCACCGGAGGCCGGGCCACGCGGCCTGGATGCTTACAGAAAACTCTTCTTAGAACCCTTAGGATCTAAGCTGGTCTTTGAAGAGAGTTAAGATAAAATATTTCAGGGAAAGAGGTGAAATATTTAAGGCAGAGGAATGTTCTTGTCCATTTTGTGAAATTATAGTTTGAATGTTTGTCTTGAGTGGAAAACACAAGGTCTGGAATTGGTGTCTTCAGGGCCCAGGTGAGTAGTGCCCTGGGCAGTGGGACAGAGAGGATATTTCAGTGCAGTATTTCCCCCACTAACCATGCTGGCATCTGTGGACTAACAGAAGCTCAACTTAGATAGTTAAATCGTATCAGCATGTTAGGTTCTCACCTAACAGTAAGAACAGCCGCAGCTAACATCTATTGAGCACTTACTTATGTATCAGAGATCTTGTTTTGTGAATTTACTTATATTATCTCATTTAATCCTCACAGCAACCCTGTGGGATAGTTTATGGATGCAGGAACTAAGTAAGCCACAAAGAGGTTAAGGGAGTCATTCACTTAGTAAGAAACAGAGCTAGAATTTGAACCCAGGCAGTCTGTTTGCACAGCCCTCATGCTCTGCACTGGATGGAGTCAATCTAGAATTTTTCACTTAGGAACATCTCTGTCTCAAAACTTGCTATTTACATATTGAACAGACACACACACACACGTGCGTGTACACACCACCCCTTCCTTGTCAAGAAGAATGCAGAAAGGGGCAGTTTAGTTTCTTCCTAGTATGGTAAGATTTTGCTGCTGATTTGTAACAATCCACTGCTGTGTGTGCTGGATGAGCATTAAGAACCTCCTGCAGGAGGAAGGCTGGGCTAGCTGAGCAGCTCTTCAAGATAAGCTGCGGAAAGAGGAACAGAGGGATTGGACAGACAGGAAGACAGATGGTGGCGTTGCGTGGGGAAGGAGCCTGTCTCCAACTGTGGTCCCGTGAGGCTGATGAGGCCAGTAACTCTGACTGAGGAGATGGGTGTAGGCAGAAGGTGGAAGCAGAAATGTTGACTGCAGAGGAGGTTTAAAAGCAAATGAAATGTGAGCTTGGTTCTGAGTCAGCGATTAAATGGCACAAGTGGCAAGAGGTGAAGACATCTCATTTCCTTCATTAAGAGAGGAAGTGGCGAACAGGAGGGTGAAGTTGAGGTGAACAGCTGAACAAGGATTATGGGTGCAGTCTGTGAGCATCTGCGAACAGGTTCTGAGGTCTGCAGTGGAGGGTGCACTAAAATGCCAAACTAGCTCGTCAAGGAAGAGTGTGATCTCTAATGGAGCAGGCTAGTCATGATGAATGCTAAGCTGACAAAAGGTTGCTGAGTTTGAATGCAGGTGAGTTAACAAGTAAGACATGTTATATTACCGTCTTAGTTGATGGATGTGTCATGCTCAGTGTTCCAGTGTCTGATGCTTGCTCAGACAGCCTGCCTTCCAGTGTGTAAATTCCCACCACAGCATACCAGGCAGTGGTCAACCAGCCTTTTCTCAAAGGGTGACTAGGTTACCTCTTGACAGCTGTTAAAGGCTTTTTCCTTGTGGCTTATAACCACTGGACCCAGTTCTCACCTCTGCAGCCGCACAGACCCAGCCTCATCTCTCTTCTGGGCCTTCAGATACAAGTGCTTGTGAGCCAGCCTGTCATGGCCCCTCCACTCTCATGTCCAGAGTTTATAGCATCCCTAAAGGACTGTCCCTCCAGTTTTAAATGTAAACCTTGCTGATATGAGTATTCTCATTTTTTATAACATAGCTCTTTTTAAGGGCTGAGTACTTTATAAGACAATTTTGAAACCAAATTGAAACGTGGTCTTTACCCTAAAGGAAATCACAGAATACAGGAGACCAACAATAAACACAGAAGACTTAAACTGTCTTTTTTTAAAAATGAGTACAACCTAACAGGAAGAGTAAACAAGGTGAGGTAAGGTGGGGACGTTGCTTCATACGTGTTATTAATATCGAGGTGAAATTTGGAGATGCACAGGTCTTAAGTGTACAATTAGATGTAATCCACACCCTCATGAAGATAGAGAATGTTCCTGCCACCCAGAAAATTTCCTCATGGGAAAGGTAGCCTTCCAACCAGTTCCCACCCCTACAGGCAACAGCTGTTCTGATATCCGTCCCCACAGATCCATTTTGCCTACATCATTCGGTTCTGTAATGCATCAAAGTTCACATCAAAGTCTTTCGCCAAAGATAAAGTGATACAGAATAAAGCAACATTCAGAGACTACGCACCAATACGCTGTGTGCCCTTGGGCAAAAAACTCAACCTCTCTGGGCCTTGTAACAGTTTGATAGGTGATCCTTATGATTCCTTAAAGATCACACCTCCACGTACTTTTCTAACCTCAAAGACCCTGCCATCCATTCAAGAGCCATGAGCCAGAAACGAACCTGGGCTCATTCCACCCTCTCCAGTTGACTGCTCTACTAACATCATTTCTTCCTTGTCATCTTTTTGGACGTGTCACGACTTCCTTTTGTCCCTACCTCCTCTTTATTTCTTTCCTTTCTTGCCTTGTAATAACCATCTAGTTACTCTTCTGGCCTCTCTTGCCCCAGGTCCTCTCCAAACTATTCTTGTTACTGCCCCCAAGGTAGTCCTTGCTAAAATGAAACATACTCTGGTCCCTTTTGTTTAAAATCCTTAAGTGGTTCTTTGCCATTTAAGGTGCTTCTGTACCGCCTACAGAGTTCAGATTCTGGAGTTTGACCGTGAGGGCCTTTACCCTTTACCCAAGGCCTCCAGCCTACTTGTGCCCTCAGCCCTCCGAGCTCTCCTGGTGGCTTCGCTCTCCCTCTGCTCCCCCCACCGCCGGCTCCCTCCCCCTTCCTTTACCTCCCTTCCTCCCTGTTCTGGTTAGGTGCCTGTCTCCCTGATTCTCCTGTGAACTCTTGAGAGAGGTTAGGGACCATGTTTTATTCACTTCTCTATCTCCAGCATCCAGAATGGGACTTTGCTGAAAACACTTAACCCCAAAGTAATTAACCATGAGATCTGTAAGGATGATGGTATAACGGGTCAGCGTCTTCCTCAGGCTTCAAATTGATGTTTCTAAAAATAATCACATGGAAGTTCTCATATGTGTCCGACCACTTTATCAGGTCTAATTCTAAGTTTTTCTTTCCAGTAGCTTTCATGGTAATATTGTGTTAAAGGTGAGAAAGTTTTTATTTGGCAAGAAGGGTATATTTATTCATTGGAGGGCTCCAGTGAGTCCTGTTAGTGTAAAAGAGCTCGTCTGTGCTCTAATTCCTGTGTCAAATCTGACTTAATGTGCTTATTCATTTAGTTCTAGAATGGCAGATTACTCTTTCTATGAATGAAGACAATTCCTTTCCAAGGGTCTTTGTGGTAATTAGCAAGCAGATAAAAAACTAAAAATGACTGGTAAATATTGACCCAAGCACCCAGGAACACGAGTATTTATAGCCCTTGCTTGTTCATCTTGGTTCACTGTGTCCTGATTTTTTCCTGCCTCGCAGTGTGAATCAGCATTGCTGCGCAGATGATCATTACTCAGTCTGTATTTTTATCTTTTCCAAAACCTAGGTAAGAACCTCGATGCTGTCCACGACATCACGGTGGCCTACCCCCACAACATTCCTCAGACAGAGAGCCACCTCCTCCACGGGGACTTCCCCAAGGAGATCCACTTCCATGTCCACCGCTACCCCATAGACACCCTCCCCACGTCCAAGGAGGACCTGGAGCTCTGGTGCCACAGGCGGTGGGAGGAGAAGGAAGAGAGGCTGCGCTCCTTCTACCAGGGGGAGAGGAATTTTTACTTTACTGGACAGACTGTAATCCCGCCTTGCAAGTCTGAGCTCAGGGTCCTCGTGGTCAAACTGCTGTCTCTAGTGTACTGGACCCTGTTCAGCCCTGCAATGTGCCTGCTCATCTACTCGTACAGTCTTGTCCAGTGGTATTTTATAATCATCATTGTCATCTTCGTGCTGCAGGAGAGACTATTTGGTGGACTGGAAATCATGGAACTTGCATGTTACCGTTTTTTACACAAACAGTCACATTCAAATGCAAAGAAAAATGCGTAAGATTGTCAAGCTCAGAGTGTAAAAACCTGGGGATATTTTCGAAATGTTTTAGTAAGCCTTTGTAAACTGAGATGCATTTTTGCATGACTATGTCAAATATTTCTTACTACCATCATTGTTAAAGATATTTTGCACTTAGTTTTGTGGAAAAATATTGCTACACACACAATTTTTCTTTTTAATCTCTGAATGTAATTTCAACACTGTAGCAGGAAGGGATCACCGTGAAATAACTCGGGCCAGAATGTTATTAAACAATCACCAGGCTGTTAGCAGACGAGATACATCCGAGATTTTCTTAAAGGCCCAACTCCTACTTCCACACAAATCCCACATTCAGGAGGCAGAGCTGGGGCTGTTATGCGCCGGCCCAGATCCAGCACTGGCACCGACTGCGGAGGCGAGGGCCCCTACCCCTGGCTCCCTCCCTCGCCATGGGCCCCGCACAACCTTCTTTGCTGATCAAACCCTCGCATCCCTCCATCAGGCCAGAAAACAAAACCCCTTCTTCTTAACCTGAGCAGACATCTTGGTAGGAAGCCCTTCATCATTCATAAAATCTTGGCATTAGCCTTGCAATGACCAGACGTCCGAAGACCACCAGTGCCCTTTTCTCACGTTGAAAATAAGACCTGGACGTGTCTCAGGGAGCAACCACTTAGAAACCTTAGTCTGAATTTTTAAAGCTAGAAATTCCTACCGTTTAGTTCTTCACTTCCACGTAACCTCACCTGCTGAGTGCTGGTTTCTTTACAGCTTGTCAGCAGGTGTAGCCTTTTTGCATTAAAAAGGGTATATAAATCAAGTCACTTACCTTTTTAAACGCAAGTGTAGAAAAACGTTGTTATTGCCGTCACAAACTCTTGAAGTTGTGTCTTGGTTGAAATATTTCTTTAAAACCTGCCACAAAAAAGGAAGGTTACTATATTTTCTACATGCACATGGGTGTCTAACATCTGCCTTTAAAACAACAAGATCGCTTGCCGACAGGACAGTCACAGTTTAGCCTAAATTATTCAACCCCTGTAGCCTTGACACATTTTTCTGAGAACCAAAATGGTCACACAAAAATGAATCCTTTTGTAATGACAGTGAGAGCTCGCCCTCTCTCTGTCTCTCTTTTAGTCCCAGGTTTCCTCCTTCGGGAGTAAAAGTTAAGCCCACTTTCGACCAATTGTGCGCCTAAATATTCTTGTCATTTGGAGTCAATGGAAAATCCAACAAACCAATAGCGCTAGTCTCCTTTTCAGGCGAAAGAAACGTGTGGTCACTTCTTCACCCCACTGGAGGCTTTTTTGTCGTACTGGGGGTGCCGGTCAGAGCAGCAGAAAATAGGGGGCAGTTAAAAGTTTTCAGCTGTTAAGCAAAGAGAAAAAAAAACACCTTACTTTGGCCTTGCACCAGCCTCAAAAGCCATTTATTGCTTTGTGTCCTCTTTTGGCTTGAGTGCCTTCTCCTTGATTACATCTCGTCTTTGATGGACGGCGACTTCCAGCCAACAGCTGGCGCGGGCATCGCCGGGAGAGGCAGGCACGCCGGGAGCAGGACGCCAGAGCAGGTTCTCAGGGAGCCAGGGGCGGCCGTGCTCTGTGGACATACCCCTGTTCCGGGAAGAGTACTAACTAGTGCCTCTCCTGAAACCCACCACCCTGTATTTAACTCCTCCTTCACGGCTGTTTTTAATCCTGCCAGGAGCTACTAATTAGCAATTACGCACATCTGCTCCAAACCTAGCTGTTTTTAAGGTGGTTTCTTTTTAACCTTTTTTCCCCTTAATAAAAGAAGTTTCCAGTTTAGGCTTCTCTCAGACTTCTTTTGGTTATATTTGGAAACAAGAACTAGTTAACAGTCAGGATTGTGTTTGTCCTGGGTGAGAGGGAAGCGCTGTGTTTTCTGCGCAGGTGTTCGTAGTGTAGCCGCCCTTCCTCCAACTTCTTGTGGCTCCTCCTTCAAGGTCTAATTGCCTTTAATGGCGTGTCCTCTTTAACCCTCTGAAACCTGTAAAAGGGGAACTTTTTTTTTTTCCTTTTTAGAACATGTTTTCTTTTGATCGTGAAAAACATGTTTAAGATTAAATGCAAACTCCTTTTACCTACCCAGAATTCGTAAGCCCTGAAACTGGCAAATATAGACACTGTATTTGCTCTAAAAATCAGAAATAATAACTTCAAAAAGAAAAAACTTGCTGGCGGGTGGGATTTGGGTTTGTTTGTTTGTTTGCAGTAAGGCTTCTTTTAAAATTGTAATTATTTGTGTCTCCTACACAACTTTTCCTTCTCAGTCAAAAAAAATGAAAGACATATACAGTTCATGACTTGGAATCTAGAAATTGGTAAGAAAGTGTCAAGCAGAGGTTAATGCAGCTTCAGTATTGTGATTGGCCCCGGGAGTGGTCCGCTCCCCACCTTCCCACTTGACTCCTGAGTCACGCTGGACTCGCAGCCACTGCTTGTCTGGCTGCATCAACACTCACCTCCTACTTAACGCCCTTTCAGTGCATTGAAAGCAAACTCAATGGGCTTCGACGTGTTTGCAGGGCTGTCTGTCCGATTGTTACATCTTATGGTTCGGACACATTTTAAATAAAACCAGTGTGGTTTACATGGGACATGAACCATTATACTCGAAATAGCAACCTCCAGGGAAGGGTGCCGATTAGGTCACAAGTCTTTCCACCTGCATCTGTGATGGAACAAGCCCAGGTACTTGTAAAATTCAGCAGAAGCACATGGTAAGGGACTAAAAAAATGAAAGTTAGGACCCTTTGTTGAAAACTCCTGATAAAACCCTTCCTTGTTTGCGGTGCTGCTAGAGCACGGGTGAGGGTGAGATCCCGGCTCCCACTCGTGTCCCTGCGGGTTGGTTACCCCACAGCCCACGGCAGACGTTGGCCGTGGTGGCCGAGACCGAATTCCCCAGGAGGGAGGGGGCCCCGTCTCACCCGGACTTCAAGCTCTGGCCCGACCACAATGCCCTCGTGCACTTTTATAACAGAGACTGATGGAGGGAGACTCTTGGCATCAAGTTGTTTACATTTCTTTATATAAATGATGTGCTTTCAGTGCCTTAGTTACGGGTTCCTTTCTTTTTCTCGTTCCAAGAATTGTGCAACGCGTCTCTTAGGTGAAAGAGTCTTTTTGCTATTCGCTAGGAGACAAACGGCTCATAAAGCACTGGTCACTGTGGCAAACCCTACGTTGTGATGACATGGGGAAGGGAGCCTGCTGCTGCCGCGGCGGTTGCCTCAGAGCTGTTCCTCATGCTGTAGGAAACTAAAACGGTCTTGTCACCTGGCGAGCTTCAGATTAGATACGGCCCTAAAGTTGTCTTGTGCCGACCTTAAATTCTTATTTCAGAAGAGAGTCTTGGTTTGGGTAATTCATTTTCTAAAAGATCATTATGTACAAAGCACTAAGTTTTAAAAATAACTCACGGAACGGCCTTAGCTTTCGGTGTCCACTGGTATGTTTGCGAGTCGCGTCTCTGTAGTACCGATCCCAGAATAAAGTGGAGAGAATTAAACAGTTTACACGCGTGTTGCTTCTGTTTTCCCAGGAGTGGCTGGGCGCCACTTTGCCCACACTGTTACACCCTCATGACGTGTCGTACTGAGGAAGAGCTGACCAGTGAGGACTCTGTCACAGATGTTTTTTAAAAAAAAAT